CATGAGTGAGGCAGGTTGAAGTGACGTGTGTAGCTTGCACGAGCGGCTGTGTCTGACATGCATGAGTCGTGTCAGTGCCCGTTGTTAGGACGAAAGGTCAGCTGGACTACGTAAGCCACTAGAGGACTACGTCCCAGTTGTCAGTGGGGATGTGTTTCACACCACATGGCTTTGAAATTCGCATATGCCATCGCAAACAATCCCACGCCGATGCGACGGTACAGTGACTGTACTGACTTCTTCCTACAACTTTAGAACTGCTCGAAGAGATATGGCGATGGGTAATCAAAAATCTCATTTATGGAAAGCGTAAACACAGCTTAGAGATATTACATAGCAGCCATGCCGCAGGAGTGGAAAGAGAGACTAACTGAACTACCAACAGATATCCTCGCATCGTATCGCAGATATCACGCGGGCCATATTCACCGCCCAGGCGATCTGGCCTTGCGACACGCCCTAGAAATGGGATATGCGGAGAGGTGTGGATAGCCAGGCATATGACCGACTAGTTGCTAGCATACACATTCATCGTCAGTAACGCAGAGTTCTATGCGCTGGCGGAGTGTACGTTCTACGTGGAGAACTTCTTCCATATGAAGGAGGCGGAATGTAGTTTGGAAACGGGCAGTGCCAAACCACAGGCCTGGTCTCGACAAAGACGCCTCTTCTTGGCTTCTGATGATGCGTTGGCTTTCCGCGAGGCCCAATCCCAGTACCCCAGGAATGAATTTATTGGCCGACAGAGAAAGGGCAGTCAGGTAGATGATCGTAGGTCTACCGAGGGTGTGTTTGCCATCACTTTGGACCTGCATCTTTTGTGTTCAGCCGATTTCCTCATCGGTACCGGCAGTTCTTACATTTGCAGGCTGGCCTGTGAGCTGGCCTCGTTAAAGTCTCAAAGTCAGGGTGATGCGGCTTTTCAATGGCACACAGTTGATGCGATGTATGAGTGCAGTTTTTCACGGAAACGATGGTGGCGAGCCATTGCAGACTTCAAGCAGGAGG